TCTGAACTCCAGGTCCAAAGGCAAATGTAGCTACCACTGGAGCCCGGCCCACTCCCAGGTTCATTTCACGCAGGCTTGGGCCCTCGGTAACTCCAAGATTAAGAGCCAATTTGAATAGGTTTGTTCCATAATAATCACTTCTAATTTGAACTAACTATAATGAGCATGTTACTCATTTCAAAGTAACCAGTTTGGAATGATTTTTAAATAGAATCAAGCAATAGGCATTATTTAGTCAACTGAAATGTAGGTAGAAATCAGGCAGTAGAATATATTATCCTTTGTTAGCAAATAAATGAGTAAGAATCACCCTTTAAGCCTGTGGTGTTTACTATGTTCTCACACAATTCACCTTTCCGAAAGCCTATAGGTGCATTGCTTCCACATCAAGACTGAATGCTAAGGTTTGGGATAAAATAAACACCCCAAAGCCAAGATTTTAGAGACATTTTCTGTTTAATAAATATGATTGTAAAAGCAATAAACAAGAGCAATTATACATTACACTACATAGTATTTAACAAAAAATACATCAAAAAAGTCATTTGAAAATTAGAAGTAGTTCCGATACTATAAGAAAACTTTTTTTCTTTTTTAAATTGGCTTCCTATAAAAATAAGTTGGCAAATGAGGGATTTCAATGCTCAGTTGGAATCCTGGAAAACACAGAACAGCTACCAAGCACCCCACTGCTCTCAAAGTTGCTGTTTGAACTTCTGAAAAAAAGCAAAGCAAACCTCTGCATTTGGGACCGTGAACCCAATTAGGAATAAGGCAAAGGAGAAAATGTGGGTTGGGTAGCTCAGGGTACAGCATGCACAGTTTGCCTTCTGGGATTTTGAAAAACATCACAATATCAGATTGTTATCTTGCCCTGAAACTTACTCTCTACATCCATCCGCCCCCCCTCTCTTCTGGCCTCAAGGCCCCCAAACTCTGCCTCGTGTGTGCGCCTGCCGTGAGTGGGCAGGAGGCACCTGGGTCTCCCGTCTGTAGGCTGCTGTCACTAACTCCTCGGGGACCGAGCGGGAATGGCCGAGTGCAGTGGTTCTCAAATGTCAGTGCACTTCACGGCCGCCGAGGGGCCTGTACACACAGGTCGCTGGGCTCCACCCCTGGAGGTTCTGATTCAGTAGATACGGGGTGGGGACCCAACACCGGCCTTTCCAACAAGTCCAGGGTGGTGCTGATACTGCTGGTCCAGTACCACGCTTTGAGAAACACGGGGCTAGATCCCAAGAGCAACGAGGTCCCCACTGAGCAGCACCTGGCCTCCTGACTCTCCTACAGGTGGGAAGCGGCTGGGAGGGGAGGCACGTGAGAAGCAGGAGACGCTGCCCCTGTTGCTGGCCACCTCGGCTTGTCTTCCAGGACACCGGGCGTCTCCCGCCCCTCTACTTGTACTGAGGACTCACAAGCATTCTTTCCTATGTCTCCTCATGCCATTCATTTATTCCTTCCACAAATAAGTTTCTCTCTCTATACTCTAGGAAGGCACTGTGCTAGATTTGAGTATTAGTCCCTTTTTTCATCGTTTTCCAATTAAAATGAACTGAACTGCAACTCTGAGGACTCCCTGTGCTATGAGCCTCTTTTGGTTCCCGGACACTTTGTCTTCCAGATTAAATTTGGGAGGCTCCAACTGAAGAGGATCAATGAGGATGTTTCCTATGGGATAGGAAGCCTGGCAGATCGGGGATCAATTGATTTCTACAAATAGATGGCCACCCCGGGCGTAATCCATTTCCCAGATTCATACTGGGCGTCTCCAACCGTCTGCTCGATTCACTTCTCACTTGGGCTTTGCTAGCCTTCCTCGTTCTGGGCTACCTGCCGGCAGGGGCCCCGGGGTCTCTAGGACCCCAGGGCCCTGATATACCCTGTTATACCCTGTTGTTGGCTGGGGGTGTGACCCAGGAGAAGGCTGTTGTCGGAGTGGTTTTTCAGAACTGTTTCCTCCTATAGCTGAGAGTGGGCTTCGCCCAATCCGGAATACTACCAGGGCTTCTTCTGCACAGTCTTTCATTCCTTTCTTTCTCTGCCTTCTTTCCTGATTGCCCTGGGAAGACTGGACTTGCTTCCTGCTCCAGCCAATCCACTAGTTAGTGAGCGAACTCCTCCCCTTTCTGCTAGTAATTTTGCCCTTGCGGATACTATGAACCTCGGAGATCAGAGAGCCCACATGTGAAATGTCTGGGATCGGCCTAGAGAATCAGCATCTCATCCTACTGTAAGAAAAGACCACTGTATCGTTTTACATCTTTTGACACTTTTGAACATTAAACCCATTAACCTGCTTCTTCTTCTGGTTAAAACCGTTTTTATTGTACAAATATATTTACTCTACTGTGAGAGAGGAAATACTGGGTACAGCAACCATCACAGAAGGAAGATGCCCTCCCATAGAGTAACATGTCCAAAACATTTCTCACGAGAATCTTCTAAAGTCTGACTGTGCGAGATTTTGGTGGAGGTGTGAGGCCCCCACGCATCCGAACGCTTTCTCTTCTGATGCACACGGCCAGACTGAATGGCTCTGCACACACACCAGCTCTTTCACACACATGATATGTGTCCAGGTGGGGGAGGACAGAGATATTTGGAAGAGGCGGGGTCTAGGGAGGAGACAGAGGGTACATGAAGCTGACCGCTGCAGGACAGAACGCAGCTGGTCAGCGGGGAGGAAGCTGGCATGCTTGGGAGGTGTCCAAGATCGACAGAAAGCAGAAACTTGTGGGCAGTGGAGGTAGGGTTGGCAGAGGCTAGGCCAATGTTTAGGGAACGTCATGGCTAAGGTCCAGAATCCAGTAACATGTTTGGGTAGAAAAGGTAGGAGCAGGTGAAGGGGCACTTGGGGATTGGAGGGAAAAGATACAAAGACATCAACAGATCATGACCACAAACAAATGGGAGGGCAGGTCGAGGGGTAACTAAGATTGTGTTTTCCATATAAATTGGGGGGGGTAGAGGAAGCTGTGAGGGGAGCAGGCAGGATGGGAAGGGTGCACAGGAAACACAGGCCCACTGCTGACACGCCTGTCCTTGCCTGCCCGCCTCCTCTGCCTGTGTATATAAAACTTCAACTAATGTCTTTATCCCCGTGGCCACACAGAGTGCAGCCCAGTGGCCACTGCTGGCCAACAGAGCGACCAGATGCCTTGGGAGTGGAAATGACGATAAGGAAGAGGGGACAGAGAACAGCTCAGGGTTTCAGACTCCTGCGCATGTCTTTGTGTCTTGTGAAAAGGGCTTGGCGGCTAACCCACCCATCAGCCAGCCGGTCGAGCTAAAGGAGCTGTTAAATCTAGAGCCAAGAATAGTTCCAAAAATACATGCAGATCTCCTTGGCCTATATATGTTAGGAATTTTCTACAAACACGACAGATCAGAAAAAGAGAGAGGAGAAGAAGGGGGAGGGGAGTGTTTTTTCCATTAAAATAGAGCACCTGTACACTGCCCCTCCCAGCGTGTTCTCAACGTACAGTCCGCATGCACAGGCTTAAAGCTAAAAACCCTTGTCTGTGTCTGAAGAATTGGAAAGTCCCGATGCAGTGAGTGTTTGTTTGTTTGCATTTTGATCGTTTTTTACTTTTATTTTGTGTTTGTTTTATTGTTTTTGTTTGTTTGTTTTTACTGCCGTCCTCCATTCAAACATTTACATAGGTAGGGATTTCTTTTGTGCTTTGATTCTCAGCAACTATGGAAATACTTCCTGGCAAAATAGGAAACAGAACAACAAGGGAAAGAGAGAAAACATAAAGTTAGTGGTCATGAAGGGTGACGACCTTGACAAGAGCGACATTCTTTCCTGATCAGCAGGTCTCCCGCAGCCTCTGGGGGTTTTCCTTAAATTGCAAAGTGTGCCCCAGCCGATCCCCGCTTTGGCGTTGCCGGTGGAGTGGCTTGTCTTGCTCTTTGCAATCGGAGAGATGAGTCACCAGGTTGAGTAGAAGGGGAGGGAGGGGAGGGTAAAGCTACTCTCCTAAGAGAAAACGTGTGACACTTACTCATTTAATGACACTGGCAATAGAAAGGTGTCAGAGACTTTGCAATGGGATCGAGGTATCCCTGGCGAAGGAGGGAGGGCTACTCTGACCAAGTAAACAGCGGCTGTGCTTCACACCCGCGCAAATGGGATTGGAAAGCAAATGACCCCCAGAAATGCACTTAGACGCTTTCCCGGGGAACACACAGCGCGAACGCCTCTCTGGACTCGAAGACAGAAAAGCCTTTCCCCTTTTAACCCACGGCAATTACGCGTGTATCGCCCTGTCTCCCCAAATAAAAGGAAGCACAGTGTGGAAATCGGACACCAGATGTGGCTGCAGTGGTATCATTACCTCCAATGCGAGCCAGTCAAGGCATGTAAACATCCGCTTAATACAGCCACGGGACTTGCCGCCAGCAGGGTTGTTTTCACTGAGGTCCTCATTTCCCCCCCAAATAACCATCTCATCAGGGCCGTCTAGGTGTGGGCATTATCACATTAGAGGGAAGCAGGGATGGTTCCATAGTGACTCATCCACCCGAGTCAGCAACGCAGGGTCTAGATGGGAACAGTTACAGCGTCAACTCCTGTTGCCGACAGGCAGGAGGAACAGAGAAGCTGGTCACAATGGTGGCTCCGAGCTTTCCTCTAACTTCTCGGAAATTTCTCTCTGCGATAAACGCTAGGACTCGCAGTCACACTTGAGACTCTACTCCTGGCTATTGGGTCCGCATGCTTACATCACAGGCAGGGTCATTTTAACACTCATGGCAGGGACAGATGAAGAGGAGAAAGGAGCTGTCCGTCTGCTCTGTAAGAGCCGAGCCCTCTGCAGCCTGTCTTGGGAGAGCCCACTTCTGGGACCTTCTACAAACTGGATGCCTCTTGTCCTTAACATTCTCAGCTTCTGTGTTTTCTGGGGGACAATGTTTAGATTGCTGCTAGATTCTTTTCTTAAATCTCAGGGTGAGGGGGCTGTCGCTCCTCTGCCATCAGTGTGCCCGCCCTAAAGCTGACTCAAGATGAGGCTCCCACACTTTGCTCCAGACGTTACGTACCCCATCCCTCAAACCCGCCTGGCCCGCCCGACCCAGAGCCAGCCTGAGGCCTGCCCTTCCTGAGCACTGTCATATTGTCAGAGCAAATGCTGTGCTCTTTGCCCAAGAACCTGAAGCCCCACATTTCAGCAGGGGTTTCTGCAAAAGGACAAGCACACTCATGAGAGAAAGAAAAACACTAGACAGGAGCAAGAAGGTTTTTTCCCTCGTTCCAGTGGGAAGAAGCAGGGAAAGAGGCCCTTAGCTGTTTCCTTCAGGGATGTTAGAGCAGACAACAGTAGGCACGTCAAGCCAGAAAGGTGTTAGAGAGAGAGGCAGCCATTGACTACTCAGGCCGAAGACCTGACAGCTACTGGGAATCATTTACCTATGAGCTGTGATTCCACCTTCTCATCTACCAGCTGGCCAGGCCTCCTCAGCTCAGTCTGAGACATATGGGGCCTGCTTTCAGTGGCACTGACTCGACTGACCATCTCTCGTTCTTTCTCATTTTGCATCTGGGCATAAACATTAATCCCCGGAATCTTCCTAAAACATTAACAGAAAGCATCACTGCTAGGCACGGGAGATGCACGTCACGGCGGCACATGCTTCTGAACCTGCCACGGAGAAGGGAGAGGGCGGGGGGACATGGATGGAGGGATGCATACCTTTTAAACTTGTAGATGACAAACACAGCCAGCCCCACAAACACCACGGAGAGCAGCATCAGCATGGCGGATCCGCTGTGGGTGGGCGTGAGGTCCACCAGTGGGGCTGGGGAAGACAGAAGGCATGGTCAGGAGCAGAGACGTGGGCAGGCAGGACTCTGTGAGAGGCTCACAGTGTTCACTCAGAGGCACGGCGAGGCCCAGAAAACCGCATGGAACCTACACACGAGATGCATGTCGCGCAGCTGACATGTGGATGTGTGTGAGCCTGTCCCTGCCCCCGCGATGCTCTAGCTGGCCTGTCCAAGAGGTGCAGAGAAGCCAGATTACTTGGATCAAGGCCGGCTCCAAGTGCGACGTGTGCCCTCCTGGGCAAGTTATTTCAGCGAAATGGGCCTCGTGGGCTGAGATGAGGATAACAGTACATATCTCATCGGGGTTTTGTCAGGATGAAGCAAGTTAATGCACGTGCTAGGCACATCTTTATCCTTCCATAAATGTTAGCTCTTATCACTGCTGCTGCTATTAATTCTAATCAATACTTATAATAATAATTTTCCTGTGCTCTGAGTGCAATGCAGGTAATCAGAAAAACCACCAAAGGAATACATGTTTATGAATTACCTGTTTTCTCTCTCCCCTAGCCCAGCTATTGTTGCGCGAAGGAAAGAAATGAGAAGTAGTAATGGCGCATGCTAAGGTTTCCTACACTCAGAGACCTGATGGCTTAGTGAGCATTCACAGGGGCTAGAGGAGGGCTGCGCAATCGGGTGTTGTTCCTACAACCTCTGGAACTCCTGACAGCTCCTACCAGGAAGCACCAGTCTCCTAGACCAGTTGAGTTCACCTCTCAGACTAAACAAATATCTTTGCATCCACAAAGACTCTCCCCTCCTGAGATGGCCCTTAGATTGCAGCCCTACAGACCATCTCTCTCCACCTCCACCCCAAACTGCTTCTATCTTGTACTTTAAGACTTCGTTTGCAATTAATTTTCACCCTCCTGAAAATTGACATTTTTCAAAAACAGCATTGCTCAAGCATGAGAGATAAGCACTGTGTACCCCTCAGAACCCTGAATGCTGAACTTTTAACTCCTATCGATTTAAGCAAAGCCTGATACTCAGAAATGTGGGTGACCTTCAAGCACCATTTTCTGTGGCTTTTCTCTGTGGAGAGCCCCAAGTGTGACGTTCTGGTAACCAGGCACATGCATTCAGGGACAGGTGACGGTAGTACTGATGGTCTCAGATAAACTGGAGGCTGCATCTGGCCTGTCGGGTTATCCGTAGGATGACAACCCAGCCACTCAATATCCATTCTGCACTGAGAAGTATACACCATACACCACGTCGTTTTGGTGGAAAACAAAGCCAAGCTCTCTCTCGGCGCATGGGCGCTGCTGCTTTCGTAGAATCAGCTTTCAGGAGGCACGACAAGGCTGCACTCGTGATTCTCTGCCCTGGGAGCCGGCAGCACTTACACTGTGAAGGTGAGAGTGAGTGTGCCGGTCTGTGTGTGCAGGGTGCAGGGGCACACCCAAGGCGCACGTGCTTTTAGCCCGAAATCAGAAAACAGAAGCCTCTTTCATTCACTCCGGTAAGCACAGTGTGGTCGGCCAGGGGCTGCAGAACTACTTCAGAATTCCCACCAAAACGGGTAGGATGTCATCAGGGAAGAGACGCCTCCATCTGTCTGGGCATCACAGCCACTAACTCAATGGAAGCCAGGCCCTGTGCTCTCCACTGGACAGGTCAGAACAGTGAGATTCCTATTGGCTAACGCTGTTCCAAAGGACTCAGAACCAGTAAACGGAAGAACTGAGACCCGAACCCAAGTCCTCTCTCTCTCTCTCTCTCTCTCTCTCACACACACACACACACAAATGGGTTCTATTTCCCTTGTCTTCCCTTTCTCCTCTCTCTCCCCCCATCACTAGCTTCAATCTTCCAATCCTAAATCATTCCCATTCAAATCCTCACCCCTAAACAAGCTGCGTTAACACTAGTAATTAGCACATTTTGGGAAAATGGCTTCGGTGTCCTGAGTTCTAAACTGTGTGTATCCGCTCCCCCTCCCATCCCTGCATCCCCTCTGCATGGCCCGGAGGCGGACCAGCCACCCCAGAGACCTGCCGCCTTTGCCCTCTGTGCTCTGGGGTGGCTTCTGCTCCCCGTTCGGGGCCTGCGCCCACGCTCGGGGCCTGCGGACTGACGGCCCTCAGGGCTCCGCACTGCGCTCCGGGCCCGCGCACAGACGGCCGTCAGGGCTCCGCACCGCGCTCCGGTCCCGCGCATGGATGGCCCTCAGGGCTCTGCACAGCCGTAGCTGCACAACTCCGTTCGCCCAGCACTCAGGTGAGTTTGTGCGTTTTGCTGAGGAATGGAAACTCGTGATAAATGGGCTTTACCTTGTTGTGTGGAATTAGCATAACTTAATCCCTCTCCATTGCAGCATAAACAGGCTGGAGGAGGAGGAGAAAGTGCTGAGCAGTTCATTTGCCAGTATTCGTGCCCAGAGCACAGCAAGGACGGGGTTCTGCAAGTCACCAGACGTATCTCAGTCTGGGTGCCGGCACCCAGGTCTCAGGTCCCGCGAGGAGCTCAGAAATGCACCGAATTCTACGTTCTATTCATGACTACGTTCTATGCACACACGTTGATTATAACAGCCATGCTTACAGTAATGACAATAGTCTTCTTGTGAAAGGTGACGATACATAGTGAGTGTAAATAGATGATCACAGATTGCATGTGTGAGAGCAAAGACAAGACCCCACATTTAGGGTGAAGCAACTGATGGAGATGGTCCCTTTTTTGGAATCAGATTCTGACTCTGCCACTTACGGGTTACATGGCTTAAACTGAACCTCCATTTCCTCATCTGCATAATGGGATAAAATGTGTTTATTTTAGAAAGTTGTGAGAACAAAGTAAGATAGAATGTTTAAAGTCCTAGCATAGGGTCTTGTCTGTGCCCAATATTTTTAATACTGTCATACCATTGCTATCAGATATCTGAAAGCACAGTCTGTAGAAAACCAGCCCTGGAAGGTGACAAGAGTTCTGTGGTCAGATGACTCTCAGAAGTGTTAGATGGGCATCCCCCATCTTGGAGATTCATGATGCTCATCAGTATATCAAAAGTTCACAGCAATCTTGCAGGAATGAAACTCATGTAACTTGACCATAGAGTTTCACAGGCTCATCAGACCGCAGACCCAGAACACCCACAACACAGACCCAGAAATGACCCACCCCGAGCACCACTCCCCCTTTGCTGCATCCTGGGCTCTCCGTTCGGTTTACTTCCAAGTTCTAAAGTGCACACTGTGGGGGCTTCACCAGGTACAGCCACGCAGAAAGCCTCCTGGCTGTCTGCATGCACTCTGGTTCCTTCAAAGGGACCTTCTCGGAGAGCGTCTACAGCACTATGACCCTGACACGGAACTCTTACTGTATTCTAACCCAGAAGTTTGTGCTATCGAAAGATGCCAAAGCAAGTTTTCCAGACCTTTATTTTCTGTTTCTCGCTCTTTCCTCCAAAGAGACCCAGGCGAGGCTTTTAGTCACGTGCCTTCAATATCACAAAATTCACGTGATCTGACATCTCTTTTTCAGAAATGAAGGTGGTATGAGCATAGCACACGGATTATCTGCAGTGCAGAAGGGTTGATGTGTACAGAGCACCCTCGCTGGTCCAACAGACCTTCTCTCTGGTTCAAATCCAAGCCCAGCCAGGAGAGGCTTAGGGGTGGCCATGCCCTACTTTGTTGAAGCAGTGACCTCGGAGACCAGATTGAGTGGGATTCCCTGACTCATGAAGATTTTAAACTTTGGATGAGTCTCTAAGAACATTCAGTCCCCAGAAGTTGAGGTTATTTGACAACCATGGGTACCACAAAGACCAAGCTTCTCACCATGACTGGCAGACAGGAGGAGAAGGGTGCTTTTCTGGGGTTGAAAGTCAAAGAAGATTCTTTACAGACCCCCTGAATCAGACCCCCTGGAGAACTTGTGAGAATGCCCCTTCCCAGGCCTCGCTTGAGAAAACACACACCAGTTTCTGAGAGTAAGTCCCAGAACACATAGCAAACTGCACAGGTCCTAATTATGCACACCAGTTGATAGTACTGCAAAGGCCCCGCCTACGGAGACCCAGAAAACATCCGGTCCTCATCTTTCCAGTGTGCCCGAACTGTACATTCTCTTGGTCACTAAAACAAAACAGAAAAACACACCTCTCCGCTGTTAACAGTGGCTCCATCCGGCTACGGGTTCATTGCGGAGCTGTATCAGTTCTGCGCCCTACCTATGTTCAAACCTTGTACAATCCGGGTTTGAAGCTTCTGCCCCCACGCGGTGGCAGCGGTCCCCTCGCCTCCCGAATCTGAGCTCACGCTGTCACGTGACTTCACATGGGTGAAGGGCAGTGATGGTGTCCATGGTGAGCTTCCAGGCACGTTTTCTCTCCCTGTTCCTCTCTGAACCCTCTCACCGCCATGTGCGAGAAGCCTGCTGAAGGATGTGAAAGTATGGGGGGGGGGTTAGTTATTCCAACTGCGGCCATTGTAGAGCCAACGGGCGCCCAACACGTGGGACCGCCCAGACCAGATCCGGGAGCTCCCTGCCCAGCAACCACAGCTGACTGTAGACACACAACAAACAGACAGAACCAGAGCCTCCAGCTGGCCCGCAGTCTCCTAGGCAACAGTACATGCTTGTTGCTGAGCCACTGACCGTCCAGGTGATCTGCGATACCCGAGAGCTTACGCCTTCTCTCCACAAAACTCTTCTCTTTCAGCTGGTTGAACCTCCAATTAGCAAGTCTCACCTTTGGGCTCTACGTTATCCAGTTCTTGTTGTGGACACCTGTCCCCAGTGGTAGGGTGGCAGGATATAAGCGTGAGGGCCAGACACGTTCACTTCTAAACCAGGACACTTGAAGAACGGACAGGAGAGCTAGTAGAGCTCATGCGATCAGGAAAGATGTAACCCAACAGCCCTGGCCACTCGGGGTGTAAGAAACCAGATTCTGGCACCTTCTCTATCATGTATATGTGTTCTCCTGTCTTTTTTCATTGCCGATTTTTTGTGACTATTTGCC